GGCTCAGGACAAATCGAGTTTTGTGTGGAGATTGCATCTGTATCCGTCCAAGATCTTGGGAATTACAAGTGCTTTGCTCAGTTGGAAGGTAACTGTTTTAGATTCTGTGAAACAAGTTTATTTCCGATGCTTTGCAATAATCATGTCAAATTCCAAAGTAGAGGGACAAGCGTGATTCAGCAGCGGACAAAATAATGATTTTCAAGTGGTGAAAATTTACGTACTAATATTGATACAAAACATGAGATGAGTGGGTAAGGTGCGTAGTCATCTTGTTTTGGAAAAAAATTAGAAACACATTTTCAAAGGCCATTAGTAAAAAAAGATAAGAATTTAATTCTTCTCCTTTTTTAATGTGGAGGGCAAACAGTAATAAGATGTAAGCTTTTGAAATGTTGATTTTCATTATTTTGAAAGCAGTCTTTAAGTTGCAAGCAATTTCATTACGAGATCTTTATCTATTGCATTACAAGTCTAGTGTTGTGATTAAGTTCTAATAATAATCCCTAAATTCTTACAAAAAGGTCTTATCTGGTTCCCCAGTATTTTTTTTCAGACTCGGTCGTATCCAAAGAATTTCATGTGCAAAGAACCAGGGAACCATTGGTACTAAGTTCACCCCCAAACATCATCTTCTACTGCCAATTCAGCATTGGACTTTTCATTTTTGTGAGTTCTTCTACATATTCTTAACATCTGCATGGAATGATCCTACAGTAGTCGAAATCGTGCTAGTCGATAGTTTAGGCATTTTGTTGCGCTACTTGTTGCATTCTTCGACGTGGGAGGCCAAGCAAAACAGGCCCAAAAAAGGATCATCAATGTCGGACAACGGTAGGTTTTTTTTTAAAATTCCTTATTTCAATTGAAATTAAACACATAAACTTACTAATTCATAAATTTCTAGGTCGTCCATGTTCTCCCACCCAAAGACGATTCATCCAACAGCACTACTCCATCTTACTGTAGCCAAGAACCATACCAGCACATTCCTGGATGTTGTGCTGAGAATTGTCACTATGTGCTAAGAGAAGAAGATCCCTATGTGCCCGACTATCCTTTCATGGAAGAGCGACGCTATCTAACATCCAAACATCTAGATGATACGGCACAACGTCGGATTTCCCAATGGCGCCATCGAATTGCGGCCATGCGG